GTTTCGATTTGATCAGGTGTTCTCTAACATCATGAGTGCGAAGTCTGAGCCAGCTATTAGCTCGTGCAAGTCCAATGAAAATTGGACTAAGGTGACTTTCAAGCCCGACCTCGCCAAGTTCCACATGACGTATCTGGAGGAGGATGTTGTTGCCCTGATGTCCAAACGTGTTTTGGATATTGCGGGCTGTCTTGGCAGGACTGTTAAGGTGGAGCTGAACGGCCAAAAGCTCCCAGTTAAAACGTTTTCGGATTACGTGGGGCTTTACCTTGCCTCCGCTCAGAAAGGCAAAGAAGAGACGCTTCCAAGGTTCTTTATATTTCTTTGAGTCCTCACTTGCTAAACTCAGTTTGAATTGCAGGATATATGAGCGTGCAAATGATCGGTGGGAAGTATGCGTGAGTTTAAGCGATGGACAGTTTCAACAGGTAAGACTGTCTTCTTTCTGGTTTGCTGCTTGCTGACGTTGATGTTCACCCAGGTTAGCTTTGTGAACAGCATCGCCACAATCCGGGGTGGCACGCACGTCCAGCATGTTTCGGAACAGATCGTAAGCCACATACAGGAAATTGTGAACAAGAAGAACAAAAATGCGAACGTGAAGGGTTTCCAAATCAGAAACCATCTTTGGGTCTTTGTCAATTCTCTGATTGACAACCCTGCCTTCGATTCCCAGACGAAGGAAACATTGACTACTCGTCAAACTAGTTTTGGATCGAAGTGCGAGCTGTCCCCAGAGTTTCTGAAGAAAGGTAATATTTGTCTCCGCATAATGCACTTCCTTACTAACGGATATCCAAACAGTTTCTAAATGCGGGGTAGTTGACAATGTTCTGTCGTGGGCGGACTTTAAGCAGAGTAAGGAGCTAAAGAAGAACGACGGTGCCAAGAGGCAGCGCCTAACTGGAATAGCCAAGCTGGACGATGCAAATGATGCCGGCGGCAAGAACTCCGAAGCATGCACTTTGATCTTGACTGAAGGAGATTCAGCTAAAGCTCTTGCTGTAAGCTCAGTCTTTGCTCTTTCAGCCTTCTTAACTTTTTGTTGTCTTCAGATGAGTGGCATCAGTGTGGTTGGCCGTAACCACTATGGTGTGTTTCCTCTCAGGGGAAAGCTTTTAAACGTTCGAGAGGCAACGCACAAGCAAATAATGGATAACGCTGAAATCACCAGCATAAAGCAGATACTGGGGTTGCAGCAGGGAAAAGGTTATGAAAATACCAAGTCTCTTCGTTACGGTCATTTGATGATTATGACCGACCAGGTACATTGCTTTGTTAGAATCGTTTCCTTTGTTCCTAGCAGTTGTTGCTCCAGGATCACGACGGGTCACACATCAAAGGTCTTATTATCAATTTCATTCACACGTTTTGGCCATCACTTTTGAAAGTTCCCGGTTTCTTGGTGGAATTTATCACGCCAATTGTTAAGGTTCGTCTTTTGATGACTAAACTATATCGAATGTTTCTTGCACATGCAGGCAACACATAAGAACGGAAAGGTACTATCCTTCTATACTATGCCGGAATACGAGTCGTGGAAAGAGTCCCTGAGAGGAGAAACCAAGGGTTGGAGTATCAAGTACTACAAGGTTTGCACCCTGTACTATTAGCGAGGCACAAACTAAAGGCTTGTCAACAGGGTCTGGGCACGAGTACAGCAAAGGAAGGCAAGGAGTACTTTCGAGATCTGGTCAAGCACAAGAAGGACTTCGCATGGGACAATGATGAAGATGGTGACTCTATAGAGCTAGCATTTAGCAAGAAAAAAACCGAAGCCAGAAAAATATGGCTGCGAGGGTACCAGGTACGTATTCTTGATGATATAGGAATAATTTATTAACTCTGTGACATGGGAATGCAGCCAGGGACATTTCTGGATCAAACTCAGCGGGTCATCACGTACAGCGATTTCATCAATAAGGAATTAATCCTGTTCTCGTTGGCTGATTTGGCAAGGTCTGTCCCGTCTATGGTGGACGGATTGAAGCCCGGACAGCGCAAGATTCTGTTTGCTGCATTCAAAAGAAATTTTACGTCGCAAGCTAAGGTAAGTTATGATTTAGTTTCAAGATGTAATGCATTCTTTTGCCTTATATTTGCAGGTAGCGCAATTTTCTGGATATGTCTCCGAGCATTCTGCTTATCACCATGGAGAACAAAGTCTCGCGAGTACTATCATAGGAATGGCTCAGAATTTCGTCGGTAGCAATAACATCAATATCCTTGCTCCGATTGGACAGTTCGGTACAAGGAGTCAGGTAATCCTATTTTCTCTTGTTTGGCACTGATTGAAAGCATGCATATCCAGGGCGGAAAGGACCATGCCAGTGCGCGTTACATCTATACGTCTCTAACTCCGTTAACACGTACTATATTTCCTAAACCAGATGACATTTTACTGAATTTTCTGAGAGAGGATGGACAGTCGATCGAGCCCTTCTGGTACGTAGTTCTTTAGACTTTTGAAATATTTTGCTGAGATTTTCTATCAATTGTAAAGGTATGCACCAATTCTTCCTATGGTGCTTGTCAACGGCTCTGAAGGCATTGGCACTGGGTGGAGCACTTTCGTGCCAAATTACAATCCTCGAGATATCGTTACCAACCTTAAGCATCTTTTGCGCGATGAGCCGCTGGAGCCAATGGATCCGTGGTACAAGGGGTTTAAGGTCGTCTTCGTCAGCAGAATACCGTGTGGTGCTTACATTTTTCCTCTTGTGCAGGGGACGATAGTGAAATCGGCAAGCAAAGAATCTGGTGTCAGCTATACAGTGACTGGCATCGTAGAGCAAGTCAACGAGACTACTATACGTGTGCTAGAGCTTCCCATTAGAAAGTGGACTCAAGACTATAAGGAGTTTCTTGAAGCGTTGCTTTGTGGCACAGAGAAAATCAAAGAACCCTCTATTAAGGTGATGCTCTCATTCAACTCCCGCGAGTGTATTTTAACGTCTTGCTTTCAACATTCAGGACTACAGGGAGCATAACACTGATACGCGAGTGCACTTTGAAATTTCTTTATCCGAGGAAAAAATGGCTGAAGCTCTTGCAGAGGGTCTCACGAAAAAGTTCAAGCTGAGTACCACTATCAGCACCAGTAACATGAATCTTTTTGATAAGGACGGGCATATTCGAAAGTATGACACGCCCGAACAAAGTATCCTTTTGGCATGCATGGTTTCTAGCATTTGCTTTTTCCTTGACATAAGATACAGTTCTTGAAGACTTCTACCATATTCGTTTGGAGTTGTACGTCAAAAGAAAGGTTTTTATATTTTTTAACTTTGTAATCGTGTATTGACGAGCTTTTGTAGGAAGTGCAAGTTGAGAATTTGCAATACGAGCTACTGAAGCTTGACAACAAAGTCCGATTTATTCTCGGTGTTGTCAAAGGCGAAATTGTTGTAAACAACAGGAAGCGAGCCGAGTTACTAGTCGAGCTAAAGACCAAAGGCTTTACTCCGTTCCCTAAGAAGGCAAAAGCTTCGGACTTGCCTGTTGTCGGTGGTGATGGTTCTGACGTGGAAGCGGATGACGAAGAAAAGCTGAATAAAGGAGTTCGTGCTGGTGATTACGAGTATCTTCTATCTATGCCAATTGGCACGCTCACTCTAGAGAAGGTTCAGCAGCTCTGCAACGAGCGTGATAAGCTTGAAGGTGATGTTGAAGAATTGAAGAAATGTACACCGAAGGATCTCTGGGAGAAGGACTTAGATAACTTCCTCGAACAACTGACGGTATGACGCTATAATCACCTCGTTGCAAACGCTCATCAGTTGCATCCACAGGCTCAAGAGATGGAGGAAGAAAAGGAAGACGAGCTTGAACTTAAGCAAATGGCCAAAGAAGGTGCTGCTATATTCAAGCGCGCTGCTGCTGGCCGAAAGCCTGCTGCGAAGGCAAAAACTGCAGACAAGGAAAATGCCGTGAAGCCTACCAAAAGTAAGTCCGTCATTGAACGCGCGAAATCTAACTTGAAAATATCATCCTGCAGAAGCGACTGCCTCGACGAAAGCTTCGAATGCTTCCAAGAAGGCAGCTAAACCAGTGGTATGACACGAGAATGCTCTTTTCCTTCTTTAATGTTTTTTGTTATTGGTAGGAACTGGACAGCGAGGAAGAATACTTCAACACAAGCTTACAGGATCGCCTTGCTGCTTACGCGAAAGGAAAAGGACCGCTAACAGGTAATATGTTTTGTTTTCTCTTTCCCTGGCAATGCACTTAAACATTCTGTTCCCCAGAGGACAACTCCATGGAGGACGCTGTCAAGGAAGTGTCCCCGCCAACAAAGCATAATGCTCCTAAAGCTGCTCCGGTCGCAAAGAAGCGCGCGAATACCAAAGCCTCCAAAGCATCAAAAGCCACTGAAGATGTTGCGGCCCACGACTCCCCTGATGCGAAAGTAAGGAAGGTGCGGGCTTCTCCATTCAACAAGAAGAGTGGTTCCGTCATTCCTCAGCTTGCAAAGCTGTCCATCGAGGCAGAGGCCGACTCCGACGTCGAAGCAGCTCCTCAAGCAAGGCCGAAGAGACGAGCGGCTCGCCCGGCTGTGCACTACATCGAGAGCGACACGGAGGAAGACAAGGCCGCAAGCGAAGACATCTCCGACTTTGAGGACGAAGGATCAGAGTAAAGTCTGGTTCCCCCTCCCCGGTTTTCTCATTCTGCTCGTTTGGTGCTAACGAGTTTGCTGTACTGCTCTTTAACTTTCTATGTTAAGGTGGAGGCTCCAGAAGAAAGGTCGTGTCATGGTACTGTGACTCGTATGGATTGTGTAATATCTGCATTGTTTTGTTCCAGACAATTGTTTCATGTCATTGATCATATAATGTTTTTCACCTTTTTCTTGTGTAAAAGGCTCCTCTACACATCAAATTTTTTCTTAAGCTGAATGGCCTAATTTTTTCTTAAGCTGAAAGGCCTGAATTTAGAAATGCAGCTCCACAAACTTAAGATACAATCTGTCATTGATATAAAAATAATTACTAAAAGTTTTTATAAATCCTTATTATTTGCATAGGAAGTAGTTTTTCATGTCCTAATTTACGACATTCAATTCTCAAAAAGAGGATTGGAAACGAAAACCAAGGTACTATTCGTTGGCTTTGTTGGGTCCTGTAAACATTGGAAAAAGGTGGGAAAAAAGAAACTGAAAATCAAAAACACATTACATACCTTAATCCTAATCGGTAAGACTCTACTAAGCTTTCAAGATGCCCCACCTCGAAGTTGAACAAATCCAAGGCACCTGATGGCGGCCAGTAGAAGTCAGACCCTAAAAAGCCGCCATTTGCCGCAACTTGTTTTGCCTCTCGCAGAGCCCTTACATAGTCCTCGCAGTCTTCGCTGAAATAGTTTTCCGACGGCACAGCAACATCCTCCCCCTCAAGCTTGTCTGGATCCACGAGAAGATGAAACGGCGTCAAGTGTATCATGACGAACTCTGGCCACTTGTGCACAAGCATCCGCGCGTCCAGCAGCAGCCGCGCATGCAACTCCTCATCCTCAACTCTGCCGAACAGATCCATTTCCGCCCACGACGCGAACTGGTCGCAAAGCTCTATAGCCCCCGGGCCAAGAATGGGGTTGGAGGGCCAAGGATGGCAGATCAAACTCTTTGCGTGCTCGACGAACGTGGGCCATGGAGGATAGCGCTGATAGTAATGGTAGTATTGGCGCTGCTGCTTCACCTCTTGGCGGATGGCGTCCAGGTCCGGGACACCCGTTAAAGTCCAGTGGCGAAAATTGTTGTAGGTGAGATTGGGCTCTGCATAGCCCTCGAAACTC